GCCAGATCCTGAAGATGAAACTCAAATGCTTTGGCCACCTGATGAGAAGGAAGGACTGGAGAAGAGCCTAATGCTGGGAACGATTGAGGGCAAAAGAAGAAGAAGGGAACGACAGAGGAGGTGGCTGGCTGGAGTCACTGAAGCAGTCGGCGTGGGCTTAAATGGACTCCAGAGGATAGTAGAGGACAGGAAGGCCTGGAGGAATGAAGCGAAACGTCTTTAACAGGAAAACAAGAAAGTCCAGTTGCCTCCTGAAAAAGCACCTTTGGGAGACTGAGAATTAGACTGGGAGTTGGCTAAGCTGCATAAACAGGTCTCTCTCTGGAATTCAGAGTTTACACTTGCAGGCATCTTCAGAAGCAACCACAGTTTTGAGGTTTTATATATTTTTATCCTGCCTGTTGTTGTTTTTATAAATACCTCAAGGCACCTAATGCTCTTTCTTCCTCCTATTTTCCCCACAACTCTCTGTGGTGAGTTGGGCTAAGAGACAGTGACTGGCTCAAAGTCACCAAGGTGGCTACCATGCCTGTGGCAGGACTAGAACTCACAGTCTCCTGGGGATTAGGTAAAGTCACTCAGCTGGCTTTCATGCCTAAGACAGGACCAGAACTCACATAGTCTCCTGGGGATTGGCCCAGATTCACCAGCCAGCTTTCATGCCCAAGATGAGACTAGAACCCAGAGTCTCCTGGTTTCTAGGCCAGTGCCTTAACCACTATACCAAACTGGTTGGCAGGCTGTGACGAAGAATAAACGCGAGAAGCTACTAATCAAGTTAAGAAGGTCAGTTAAAAGTGGGCCTCTGAAAGGATCAATAATTTCATCCAGTTCATTTTTCCAATTTCTCTCTAAATAAGAGGCAATCAGGCCGACAGGTGTCCCCAATTCACTCTGCCGTCTCCCGAGACACCCAAAATGGCATTGCCGAATTTACTGGGAAAAATGCTGATTTCAGCAGAGCGATTTGCTTTCCTTTTTGCGAGAGAGATGCAAAAACCCGGGATTAAAGCTCATATGGACTCTCTCCCAGCACAAAAAAACCGAAAAAGAATGCATAAACGCTGTCCGCCTACCCTCAAAAAGGAGGGGCAAAGTTTTTTGGAACTGCCCCCCCTGGCATCAATGTACCATCACTAAGAGTCTCTTGAAGGTCAAGGTTTTTTTTAGAAAAAGGAAAATAGGTTGTCAGCCTCCGTACGTTTTTCCACCTTTGTTCTACATAATGTACCCTTTTACCAATTCCATTGCTCTGAACTTTCTGAGAGATTTCACACACANTAGAAAAATAGGAACCACCTTTGGTGGGAAGGTAACAGCGTTCCGTGTGCCTTTGGCGTTTAGTCATGCCGGCCACATGACCACGGAGACGTCTTCGGACAGCGCTAGCTCTTCGGCTTTGAAACGGAGATGAGCATCGCCCCCTAGAGCCGGGAACGACTAGCACATATGTGCGAGGGGAACCTTTACCTTTTAAGAGTTTGCTTCTATTTTTTTATTTTATTATATCAAATATAAAATACAAAAAAAGAAAGAAAAGAAGAAATTAAGGGCGGGAAAGGAAACAGGAAAAGGGGGTGTGAGATAGAAGGGGGAAGAGAAAAAAAAGAAAGAAAAGGGGGCATTGACTCTAACTCTTCCTAGCTTAGTACAAGATAAACATGCTCCAGCCTCAACTTTTTGCTTTGACACATTAATATATAACTAGCCATTTCTATAACACCAAATCTTTCTAATCAACATAACCAAGATCAAAGTTTCAATTTTTTCCCCCCTTCACAAGCAAGCACAAATCCCAGAAGTGAATTTCCAAAGAACGAATTTTCCTCATAAAAAAAAGTAATTAAGTTAACTATTCCGCCTTTATCTTCCTTGCTATGGGGAAATAATGTGTTCTTTCTATTTGCAGTAATCTTTATAAACTTTCACCATTTTATAAAGGTGACTACCTATTCCTCCACCCCCTCCCCCAGCACCATTGCCACCTAACTTCCTCCTGGGTGCGGCCCAGATTTTTCCAACTTCAATTTCCTCTCCCAGAATTCTCAGCGTATCTGTTCTGACCGAGGCTTCCCAAGAGCATGAAGCAAACTCCTTGTCCCGACAAAAACCCCTTTTATTAATTGACCGTGCATTCTGCTCATTCATAGTCAGCAAAGTCTTTCAAGGGAGGATTTACAGTCACAGACCTTATCTGGCTTGGAAAGCTGACAGGCTGATATCTGCAAAACTTGGTAAGAAGTTTCGGAGAGTCACGAACCAATTAAGCGAACTAATTGTCTCCTGCAAACTCCACTCTCCTTTTCGCTCCTCTTTTATTTCCTCTGGGAGGGACTATCCATGGTCCACCTGTGGCCTTACTCCCAAGTCAACCCCTGTTCTTTAGCTGTTCCCTTCGTCTGGCAACTCTATGCATGCGCCCACTGACTCCAGCTGTTCGTCTGCCCCACTGATGTCTGACTCTTAAGGCAGTTGATAGCTGTGGGGCAGCTCTGGCCCCCTCTCTGCCTCCAATGCCTTCCCCAGACTCCAGGACTGGCACATGTTCCTCCCCAACCTGCTCACTGTCCGAATCTGCCACCAGCTCTGCTGGTGGGCCTTAACAGTGCCCTTGACAACTGGGGGAATTCTGGGAGTTGACTCTCAGACATCCAGAGGACTTCCAGGCTGTTCCAGAGATGCTCTGGAAACCCAAGGCCACCTCTCTTCAGGAAGCGAGAGCAATTTCTGCATTCAAGACATATTTGCTAAAAACGAACTTGCATGGGGGGGGGGGGGGAAGCGTGCAAGACAGGTAGATCTTTACCTGGAGGAAGAGGCTCCACGGGCCCCGAGAGGCCTTTCACTTGGCACCAGGAGGAGGGCACAAATTCAGGGATCGGGGGTATTGAGGACGCTGGAAGAAAGAGACATCTGTGTCACCTCCAGCTCTGGTCATCCCCCATCGAGGTTTCATTAATGACATCACAAGGAACTGGAAGCAGCATCACCTTTCTGGACTCTTAGCACCTCGGCAAGGAATTCCAAGCATTGCTCCTCATCGGCAATTTCAAACAGACGCTCTGCGGTGCAATCGCCCTGCAGACGGATCTTGCAACCAGCTTTGAAGCCAAACATAAGAGAAGGACATGTGTCAGGAAACAGGCGTCTGGGCCGATAAAAGTCCAAGAACGGACGTTAGCCGATCATAATTTACTTTAAAAGGATAGAATGGGGGATGGGATGGTTAAAAGACAGCGAAAGAAGAGGAAAAGGCCACAGCAGGTTTTTTTGGGGGGGAAAGCACCAGCTTTGCTCAAAATCGGGGCTGCCCTTGGGGATCAGAACACCGAGGAGCAGGATATGCTCTGATCCGTCGCTCTGGAAAACGCATGACTGCGGAAAAAAAGAAAAGAAACTATACCGGGATTAGACTTTCAGCTGTTGTGGAAGATCCTGAAGTTGTGGGAGATCCTGAATGGAACATCTGAATTAAGATACATCTTGGGATAGGTGTCTATGGTTGATCTACTTGGGTGAAAAGGCTCAGATATTCCTGACAGACTTAATCTTAATTTTGCAAAGCTTCTTCTCCGGTTAAGGAACGAGGTGGCTCTGTGGCTAAGACGCTGAGCTTGTCGATCAGAAAGATTGGCAGTTTGGTGGTTCGAATCCCTAGCTCCCGTTAGTTGTCCCAGCTTCTGCCAACCTAGCAGTTCGAAAGCATGTAGCCGAGGTGGCGCAGTGGTTAAATGCAGCACTGCAGGCTACTTCAGCTGACTGCAGTTCTGCAGTTCGGCTGTTCAAATCTCACTGGCTCAGG